TATTCCTTCTGTGATTTATTGATAAAGAATACCTTTTCCTCAATCTTTTAATACTAATTTATTCTATCATTACTCATCTCCTTGTGGCAACCACTCACCCTTTTTTCATGCATCCCTTTATCCATGGCCATCCATTSATCTCATCATTCATCCTTCTCATTATTCATTCAGTCATTCATTTTTTATTCCTTTATTTGTCCCTTTGTTTATTATGTATTCAGACATCACTCAATTCATTGATCCATCCCTTTTCAGTCCATTTATTTAATATCCTTTCTATTTTAGTCCAGCTCTGTGAATGTAATATTTTTTAAAATGTGCATTCTTGCAGTGCTGAGCAGTAACGAGCTCTGTGTTTCAAATGAGAATACAGTTTTCCTTGCTTTGATGAGATGGGCAGAAGTGAATGAAACATATGGTGTAGACYTGAGGCCACTGACTGAACTGGTGCGCTTCAAGGCAATGACCATCAACTACCTTCATGATATTGTGACAAGTGAACACCCCATTGCATCAACTGTGCCAAACTTCCCTGAAATGTTTGAAGAGGCAGTCTTCTACCATGCTTTTTCAAAAGTAAGAATCAAAACTATTATATTTCTATTGTTGCAGTAGTTGTGAGATGCCAGTCTATTGCTTTACTGGTATAAACAAGTAACAACTGAGTCTCACTGTGCCAGCTGTGATCCTGTTGTTTTAGATCAGAGTGCAATGTTTCTCCCAACATAAAGTCAATTGAGATGAAGAGACAATTCTAATTCACCCTAAGATAGAGGAAATCAAAGGAAATGACCTGTTTAGCTGACCCTTTTGGTCTATGAGAGCTTGGAAAATCCAAAATATTATGAAGCAATACTCAACATTTTTCTTTTCATATTATAGGAAAGACAGGCAGATGAAGGGGACCAAGTCAATAGAAAGGCTTTTGATGAACCCATTCTGTTTAACTGGCATGTCGAAAACTATGAGGACACTGAATTTGAGAAGAAGAAAAAGATTGTAAAATCACCACACTTTTGGGTGAGCGGTTATGAAATGTAAGTAAAATTCATACTACATTTAAAACTAAAATAATTAGTACAGTACTGTAGATTCTTGATAGTTCTCTGTCAATGGACAATGTTTTGTCAATCATATTAAGGCAATTAATCCATAAATATTGTAATATCACTACTACTATATAGTTAAACTTCATTTTAATTACTAGTAAACTTAAGTTCTAATTAATTTTTGTTTCAGGTTTCTTGAACTAAAGTTGCGGTCAACTGGCTTTCAAGGACTTTACCTTACTATCTGCACAAGACAATTTCTCCACCATTCAAAAGGATTTGTAAAGCTAAAATACTCCTTGTCATCAAACTTTCTAAAAGCAACACATGTGTTTAATGAGGTTGATGTGTTTGACAAGGAAGGATCTGGCTGGGGATATGAAGAATTTTTCCCTCTTGTGTGGGCAGACTTTAAAGAACAATTAAAACGCAGTCCTCTTATTATAACTGCTCAAGTCAGACTGCTAGAGTAGAACCATGATAGATGCTGAGCATGTGATGTATTAGGTCCAAATGTCATTCAAATTATTATTAACGGTAGTTGTATTTTGGTGTGTTTTGGCAGCCTTATAAGCTATCGTGCTGTCATTTCTTTGGCCTCAAGTATATGGCATTGATGCAGCACAYACATTTTACTGAACAATAATTCATTGAGTAAATCAAAAACATTTTTATTTATCTGCAGACTGTTTCAGCCACTCCAAAATGATAAGGTTACAGTAAMAGCAGACAAATAGRGCATTGTGTAATRAATATGATCGTCTCAGACCCCTAAACAGGGCAAAAAACTGACTTGACATAGAGTTGACAAATTAGTCCAGAGCTRTCCTGTTTAATGCAAAATACAATCCCATGTACTTGTAACATAGCTCACAACGTGAATAATTAGAATTTCTGCCAAATAAAAAATGATTAAAATGAAATATAGAAATAAACAATTAATATCAACATAATGCACACTTTTAATGGTTTCATAGAAGATGTATTCATGATATCTTTGCGACTTCAATTGATTTAAATTATTTCATTAAATAATTTCACATTAAATAATATAGCTTTTTATCCATTTTATGTATGATTCCTGATGTCCTACTGGTTGAAAACTAGCTCTTCACACTTCATGTCAATTTATATCAATCACACATTAAGCTTAAGAAACGTCTGAAACCAAAAGAAGAAATTTCGCTTGCTTTCTTCCTTACGATTCATATTGAGTATTAATCTTAGAAGCCGTTCCTTGATTTAAAAATCAAGCTGCTGTGATGAAGTTGTTTGCTTGGGGGATGTCCACAATGGTTATTTCTGTGCAGGAACGCTTTCTTTAGAGCTGGAAGGTAATTTTGATTCAGTTGAATGGTTCCTCTTCTCAACTCTCTTTACATGTAATACTTGGGATTGGCACATGGAAGATTATGATTTTCAAAATTGTTAAGGTTTTTCTCTGGCAGTTGAATGGTGTTTTGTATTCAAAAGGTTTCTTTGCATTCGAAGCATTAGAATGTACTTTTCAATTGAAAAGTTGAAAAGTTTCTTTGCAGTTGAAAGTACTTGCAGTTAGGGCAGAGTTGCTGACTTTGTGAATCAATTCCATACAATCATGTAGTTTCTGTGCTTGTAAATACTTGWTCCTTTCTTCAATACAACAGCTTTATCAGTTCACATTTATGACCATATATTCCCATTGGGTCTGTATGAGTAAATCCAGCTGTTTGGTGGAAGGAGAGGTTCTTGGGTACTTGCCATRATGTGAAGTGGAGTCCTATAAACACYATTGCGAAACCATTGTGTGGTGGTAGTTGAAAGTGGAGCTGTTCCTGGCTTTCCATCAGGATGTGTTTTAGGATATCGTCTAAACTCTGCACCATCARCCGTTCTTCCTCTGTAAGACGCAGTGTAGTTTGATCGGTGGTCATTGTTCATATTCCATGTGATCATGTTATTGGAATAGTGTTGGGATCTTTCAGGTAAAAATCTTTTCCCTAAACCCTGTAAAAATTTGAGAGTCATTTTTCAGCATCCATCTCTTTTCAGAAGGAAAGACCCAGGATTTCCAAGGGGAGGGAGGAGTAAGTATCCTTTGCAGTTTGGGGAGGGGTGCACGCTCATTCATTAGGCTGTGTGAAGAAAAGATGTACAGTTTATAGATTTAAAGAAATGTTTCAACTCAACAAATGTAAGCAATCTCTAATCATGGTTCCAGCTAGTCTTCTCTGTATATAAGTTGTCTGTACATTTTTCTGTACATGTATCTTGATTCAGAAAAAAGGTAGTTAATGAATCTTAGAGCTCTATCCTGTGTAATATCATACTTACGTTACCAAAGTACACTCCATGGTCTTGTAAATCATGTCTGTTGTCATGTCTTGAAAACATGAAATGTCTGTATGGAGACTGTACAAACAAAATSTTTTTAATTAAACTAATAATTATAATTAATGTTGGATGCTTATGAAATCATTTCATTTGRACAATTGCTTTTGACTACATTTTTTTTCATTCATTAATAAGAAAAATYCAAAAAATAGTGATACGCAAACCTCGGCTTTMTTTTCAAACTGCACTGGTGCTGATGGAAGACTGTTGTCAGCTTGCTCAACTGGGTTGAACTGCGTGGTCCATCCACGTGATTTGAACTGAAAAACAAAAACAAAAAAACATTCCAGTTGGGCGTTTTCAGTSATATTTTTATTTTCAAAGTTATTGATTCATTTATTAAATTTATTCTGTTTTATTCTTTCACATATCTTTGAATTGAAAAACTATCGCAAAGCTAATTAGCTAATATAAAATAAGTTTTATCTTTCTTTAACAAAAAAAGATGCATTTTTATTTATTGTTTGCCAGAGGTTTTTCATCTTTGTCGGTGAAAGTCAAATAATTTGCATTTCAAAAGATGAAACTACTAGTGACATTTGAAAGGGTTCTACATTTGAATGGCTTGACTTGTCGGTCCTTGACTCGTCAATCATTGTTCTATTAAACTTACAGTGCCGTACCCGTACAATACAAGTAAAAAGCACCTTTGGTCTATAATAAACAAAAATCCTTAAGCCTAAAACCATTGTAATAAAATATTTTTCTAGCTTCAATTGTAAACAATTSAAGGCCAAATGTCAGCTGTAAGTAATTTTTAATTGAATCAATTGTTTTTCGCGCCGTTGTTTTGTTTTTGCACTTCATGAAGCTTGCTCGAATTTAAATTTCCCTTGTGACAAAAATTTCAGTCTAATTTTCAAAGTTGCACTACATTGGGAAGGCCGTAAAGGCCAAATTGTGATAAAAGATGACTTCTAAATGCTTTTTAAACCGAATGCCCGACGAATAGCTCCACAGCTGTTTCAGACAAAAAGAATCAACAAAAGGGCTTCTCCGAACGGTTTCTAGGTGACATAGGATGTATATAATTCGCAATTAGAACGGACTTCAATTAAGGAGTGTGAAACTGAGAGAACTTCAAGTAAGCTACTTTCCAAAAGTTTTTCTAAATGAATTTCTGAACWAGTCAACTAGRTTTTTGTACAAAGAAGATCAATTCACCGAACGAAGTGTCCTGAGGCAATTTTATGCACATACCCATTTTCCCTCGCTTTCTTTGGAAGGTACAAAGCGTCTTCCCTTTGCCATAGCTACAAAGTTTACGAAGTGTTTCAATGATTCATTCTCGAGTGAATCGTGTCTTACTTGGAGTTTAGCTGTAAAGTCTGACTCCTTTAGACCACAAACTGACAAAAATATCCGTTGTCAAGGACGCTCCGTGGATACTATTACCGCTTATCATTGRAACCGCAGACTCAACATTCTAAAAATAACCTAAGCACCTCTGATGACGACAGAAATTTAAAACTTCTAGGGACTACTAAGAAGTGAAATATTACTTCTAAATTTTTACCGTAGAATAAGTCTCAAACCTCTATTTCAAAGTAGATTTTAATTGTAAACATCATTTAATTTATAATCAAGAGAATAYTCTTCAATAAAGCGTGTTTTTTGAAGCATAGTAAAATATCTTTATTTCTTCTACTCTCCCCTCCCCTACATAAGGAGTTTGTCTGTCCCGGTATTTTACTGAAGGATAGCAATGGCGGCCACTATGTGTTGTATTCGAAAATGAAACGGATAATGGCAATGAAAAACGTAGGACCGGCTTTAAAACAAGTCCTTAATCGCATGCATGATGCAGTTGAAAAACGCCCAGAGGTAATAAACTGGTTTTGGAAGAAATTTTTGCACTACTTTTCGTGATATTTTGTAAGCAATTTGATGATCTGATTTTTCCCCTAAATAGAGTGTTTGCAAAGCCATGCCAAGACTAGTGGCTGTGAGCAAGACAAAACCAGTTGACCTTATTGTAGAAGCATACGAACATGGGCAAAGACATTTTGGTGAAAATTATGTAAGTGCGCAATTTTGTATCTTATAAACGGGAATTTCCAAAGCACGTTTTCTTTTTGTAGTTGACACCAAATCTAGATGATCTTAATACCATTATAATTTGATGGTGTTTCAACAAAATTAGGCTTATGCATATACAAGTGAATATTGAGAATTGTTAAAGTTGTTTAATGTTATTGTTCATGTCAGGTACAAGAACTTGCCAAGAAGGCAGCTGACCCTAGAGTAAGTGCTCCACGGAAAAACATCTTTTACRATGGCGATGATTATTTTAATTAAGCTTTAAGCTTATGTTAGCTCTAAGTACTTCGCTTTGTTGTTATAATCTCAGTCTTTCACAAAAAGAGATTTGTGATTGCTTRAATAGTGTTATTTCTTTGTATTTGCTGTGCAGGTTCCTGATTTGTGGGAGGGGGAGGRGAGGGGGGTGTTGTCCAACAAGAACCAACTCTGTCCCTCATCCTCTCCCTTTTTAAATTTTATCATAATTATAATTTCTTAGCTTCGAATCATTCATAATCTTCCTTCAGATCCAACAGTTAAAGGACTTAAAATGGCATTTTATAGGACATCTTCAGAGAAATAAATGTAATAATCTTACAGGTACACTTAATCTGCATTCTTTGGGTGTGTTAATTTTTKATATTTTTTTGTATCTACAGATCACCTTAAGAAAAATACATTTTTTCGCATTGTCATTCAGTTTCAGTGCTAGAACGTTTTATTATGTTTGTGAGCACGTAACATCTCCAAAAAAATTTGTTGGACACAGAAGGACAATGCAAATTCAGCTTTTTAGGTTCAAAGCAAAAAATACTTGACTCAAATTAACACAGATTCTAGCTTAGGTATCAGGATTTATTTACAATTTAGGCCTATATAGCTTTGGTCGTAAACTAGGGTAAAATGATTCATCATTGCTTTTTCCACAGTGATTATGGTCTCATAGAAATTTGTATTGTCTTAAATCACCACTTTTGTGTTTCGAATGAAATTTGAACATAGAGCGGATTTCGTATGAGTGGGACACCGTTACCGCACGGTTACCGCACAGTTACCGGACCTGGGCTGCACAATTTTGGTGAACCAGTGGGGCACTAGAATTTGGTTACAGTACGGTTATGGTCACAGTACAGTACCATCCGTTTCCCACTCATACGAAATCCGCTCTAAACTCTCAGTTTTAAGTAATGATTATTTATCCCAACAAATCTTTTTCTTTTCCTTTTCTCTTCTTTTCCATTTGACTTCACATTTTATTTGATGTACAACCTTTTGATATCTTCTCCAGCTATTCCTAATTTATACATGGTAGAGACTATAAACAGTGAACGCCTGGCACAATCACTAAACTCTTCTTGGGGTAAAGTTAATTCAGAACCTTTGAATGTTATGGTGGAAGTTAACACTAGTGACGAAGAAAGTAAGTTGAATATATTTGATTTTTTTAATTGGACCAATAGACCACTTYGTGGATAAACACAGCTATTAGAAATTGAGCAAATAACAAAAAATGATTAAAAATGACGTAGTATCACAGGTAACCTSCATTTTGCTAAGAGTGCACGTTGATGCGACAATATAGAACATAATAATGCGTGTGCATCCATTATTTTCTTTCTCTCTCTGAGTATCAATGTTTCTATCATTGTTTTTATTACATACAATCATTAACAATATGCAGATCATTAGAAACTTATCACATCCGTACAATAAGCGTTGTTGTACTCAATGTAATTGTATGTACTTGCAGGGAAAAACATAAAAATAGACACATGACATTGAACAGGAGGGAGGGTGGAGTAAGCGATTTGTGGTTGGGGCAGAAAATTGGAAGGGATTTTAAATTTGTTATAGTTTCAGTGTTGTGCACAAAATGCATTAGGATTGTTTGAGTGATAGGTGATATGATTGGCTGATTAAAATGTGRCAAATCATTGCATAGTCTCCTTTGCTACCTCCCACTTTGGTGGGCTTCCAGTCTCTTTTGGTAGGTTACAGGAAGACAAAGGTGATGTTGCGAAAGAGACTTATATTTACAGCATAATGAATTGATTGATTGTTTGGTTGATTTGGTGATTTTATTAATTAAATTAAATTATTTTTGTCTTATTTATAGCAAAGAAAGGATGTCGTGCCGATGACTGTATAACTATTGTAGAGTATGTTATCAAAAATTGTCCTAATCTGAAGTTTGTGGGCTTGATGACAATTGGGCAATACAACTAYGATTGGGAGCAGTGTGGTCCAAACCCAGACTTCATTGTAAGTTTTGTTATTGAGCTTAGCTCCCCCTGCCCTACCTCCACAAAAAACTTCCCCCCCCCCCCCCAAAAAAAAGTGCACCACTCCTCTCATCCCCCAAAAATAAACACACAGTCATGCAAAAAAGGAAGAAAAAACAACAACAAGAACTCACRAAAAAAACATTGGTGAAAATATAATATAAATTTAATATAAAATCTTTGATATACAATGGGCGCTCTGATTGGTTGATGACCATTTTTATATCAGAGGACAGAGACATGCCTTTTTATATTTCTTAAAAATAAAACACACACACACAGCCAAAAAAGAACCAGCTGATGTTATTAAATGTGTTAAATATTTTTACAGTGTTTGATCAAATACCAAGAAATTGTATGTAAAAAGTTTAACCTGACAAAACAACAAGTAGAATTGAGTATGGGAATGTCTAGTGACTTYGATAAAGCTGTGAGTACATAAAGTTTATTCCTGAGTGATTTATTTTGAGCAGTTTTACAGTTGTCWATACTGTCTTGAAATTTGTATCCAAGTTAGACAGTTCTTGAGCTTKCATTAATGGTATGCGATATATGATAAACTAACTGTATCTAGGGGATTTTTTTTTTTGCCATGAATAAGGTTTGGCTATCTTTCAAAATGGTGTTGTTAAAAATAGAGTATTTACATAATGCAAAAACTGTCTGTGTCTGTCAAGGTTTTTATTTTYATTTCTTTGCTTGATGGGATAATTACTTTTCTAGATTGTAATGGGAAGTACTAATGTTCGTGTTGGAAGTACAATATTTGGAGAGAGAGAACCCAAACTAAAGCAACCAGCAGCAGAAGAGAGACCTGCAATAGATGTTGACCCAAATACAACAGCCACAGAAGATCTTGTTACAAAAGCATCGGCAAACTTAGATGARCTCTCTCTGACCTGAACAATTTTCAAGGAATTTGAAGATGACTTGAAATACAAAGTTATTTACTTAAATATATTATTATAGAGGAAGAAGGGAATTGTACATAGTTTAAGTATTTTTAATTAACTTACAACTATGGCAACAATATCAAATCATTTTCAGAAAATTTGAAACTGCTCAAAACTTGATTGTTCATCATACTCCTTCAGGATTCTCTAGGACTTTTTCAGTTGCCAAGGAAGAGTTYCCTGATAGAGTAACATTTGATTTTGTATTGACTAGTTTTGAGCATTGCATCTCTTGAGAATGGCTTGGGATTGCATTACAAAATAATACAAGTGAAAACACAGAAATTTTATTCATATGTAAATAAGTCGTTGCTTCCATATTAAATTTCTGATCCTTCATCAGGGAATAAAATGGTTGTACTATTTACAATGTGGACGAAACAACTTTAGTTTATTAATTTGATTTGATGTACAAGGAAATATAAGATACTTTTCAGAGGTATTGTTCARCAAGAGCAGATTTGATAGATGAAAAACTGGAATTAGAACCCTTTTCCCCTTGATTACAGACTTAAGCTTCTCAGCTGACCAATTAAAATGAAGGCTCGGGGTACGAGATTTGAGGAGAATCTTTTAGTGTTCACAATCTATGCCCCCATGTTTCCAATTCCCAACCAACCCAAATTCTACAGAATAAAATGAAATAAAAAATGAATCATTTTTGTTATTTATTTTCTTCTACAACCTTCAGTTGTGGAGGTGTAAGACTATCTTTGTTGATAAAAGTGTTATCTAATAAACTGTAGATCTTTGAAGCAAATAAGTAACTTTGTAAGCACAGGGTAGTAACTGTACTGGAGAACCAATTCATCATGGTCGGTTGCTAGGACTTTTGCTCCCTGAAGCTTCTAAAATTTTCTTAGCTGTAACTTTTCGCCATTTCATGGTATTGAGATGGGATTTTCCCCAAAAATCATACAATCCCATATAAAACTACTATTATCTCTTAGCCATTTATTTACTGATTATTTTATTGGATGCCAAATTTGGACATCATTTATGACGTCACATTTGCAATCACGTGGGATGGAATAAAAACAATTTTATAGGAAATTCTTCAACCAACCTTTCTGCCAAGTTTCCTAAATTTTGCTGGTTTCCCCTTTTGTCTATGGTCTAAAACTGAAAACTTTTGAGACTTGGGGGAGCAAAAGCCCTAGCAACCGACTATCGTGGATCAGCAAGCAAATTTGACGGACTGGAAGTTAGCATCTGTAAGAGAGATTACAAAATATTTACGATATATACTTTGGAATCTCACGTACTGTACAAAATATTCCTGTTCAAAACTCCGAGATGGTCCTTTCATTTGCCATCGAACTGCAAAGTATATTCGAATTTACAATCCAACAAGTTTGATTGATTTACAATTTGTTATTTTAGCGAGGAAAGAACAAGTGACTGTCATCCAGGATAAATACTGTCATGATACTGTAAGCAAATGGCGTCGGACTACTCTGAAGAAATCAAATAATCCATTGCAAAAACGCTCTGACTCAGATCGTAGTTATCGTTCATTAAGTCCCTCCTGCAAGTCATGGTTTAAATATTCAGATTTTACTATGAAATCACAGTGAATAAAGTCTAATTTTCTAAAAAAATATTTTTATTTTAAATTAAATACATGTATATTATATAATTACTAAATAAATCAAAGAATATTTTTATTGCGTACGAGATAAAATCACACTTAAGGAACTAAAACCCAACAACAACATATTTTTTTTTCTCAATCAGAGACAATGTGAAAGTAACTAACAATAACAAAATACCCTTTTGCTAAATCTGTTTTGCATTTTCACATTCAAGGGAAAACCCCTTACAGTATTTCCCCGAATAATGACGTCATATTATTTCCGCTTCCAGTGATATTTAATTGACAGCTCTTCCAAGAAGTCTTCAATCTCCATTTTTCTGGGAACTCACYAACTGGTACCGTTGAAAACTTCAGGAAAATCATTTCAGGATTGTTTATTGTGCATCATTGAGTGTRTTTGTAAGGAAATGCTTAGATTCTAACTCAGTTTGACAGTCWGTTTRGCGCTACGACGTGGAGCTCTGTCTCTCGCAAAAGAGTTCAAGTTTCGACTACAAAACGAAGGTCTACCAAAACACCTAAGGTAAGGCTGATTTCCTATTGTTTCTTTTGTACCTGTGTAAATCTTCTCTTTTAAGAAAGACCAGGTTATTCAAGAGTGAGACAATTTCATATTTTTTTGCGATTTTACCAGCTGCAGTCATGCATGATCTCAGCGAAATGTTTTCAGCTTTCTGACAATACTTGTTCTAATATCATGTTGTCATTCCAGAAAATAAGAAACAGAAACACTATATTATTGCTTGAAATATAAAGCTGCTTTAGATTTGAAATATTAGATTTTCTCAGTTTAAAGATTTTTATATTATATGTAAATTTTCAATTCCATACAATTCAATCAAGAATAATTTTTGCTTCTCGCTTCATTGGCCTGGTTGTTATGAGAAACTCGACACGCAGTCAAAACAACTTCATATCTGGCAACTGAGATCTAGTAATCAAGCAATATGAGATTGGCTAATAAAAAAGTTTGTTTTCTTTCTGTAGGAATGAGAGCGAGTAGACCTTCTTCCAGAGGGCAGGGTCCACGAGGTGGTGGTAACCGAGGCCGAGGTGCATCTCGGGGTAATATGGGAGGCGGTTGTCGTGGAGGTGGATACTCAAGAGGTGAGTAAAGCAACAATAATCAGTTCTCTYTGTCATTCTCACACTCGAAGATAGTACATCATTCACATATTTTTTGTCGCTGTCCTTTGTGACATCCCAGAGTAGAGGCAATTTAATTCCGGGTCGGCATTTGGAAAAGAATCACGTCATTCGCTTGGAAAACAATGAATGGAAGAACAATAATGCTTTTCCAAGCAATACAAGGAAAACTATCCGAACAGTAGAGGTTCTGCGATATTGTATCAATCAAKGCAGGTCTCGATGGCTAACGCTTCGTGGAATTTCCAATTAATTCTAGTTTTTTCCAGTTTGTTTCGATGATTATGCCTGAAACCTGTAACCTGAAAGGGAAAATAGCAAAAAACAAGAGAGAAAAAAAACAAAACAAAAAAAAAACAACAACAACAACAGAGAAAAACAAGAAGAAAAGAAAGAGAAGATTGGAAGGAAAAAGAAAAAAGAAAAATTCCCACAGCAGGACTCGAACCTCGGGCTATCAAACTGAGTATATAATGCAYCCCCCGGACATCTGAGAGGAAATAAACAAAATGAACAAAATACAAGGAAAAAGATGGGACGATYYCCCCGAGACATTCTATGAAGCTGAGGCGTCGAATCGGTTTACGTTACGGTTAGAGATTTCGGCTCTTCCACGMTATCCCGAGTGAACATAAAACTTAGTCTTAACCAAAAGGCCAGGGAGTGAGGGGGTAGCCGCCCACTAGAGCATACCTTTAGCTACCCTCTTAGACCATCGTACTATGAAGAYACTTATAGATATCGAATACCTAATCGGGATAGTCTATTCGGTGAAGTTCTATGCTAATGTMTGACGTCATCAACAGTGTAGCCAGCTAATCAAAGCGCAGCTCAGATATTATCATATGCAGTCAGTACTTGCACAACAATGTCCCAGCAGCGAAGTGGAGGGGCGAGGGACTAAGGGGGAGGGGGTGAGTAAGGGTAAGTCTGGCCGGAATCGATTTAATCGAGCGACGTAGCCAGCAGCCGTGACGAAAACAGTTTGATTATAGTATGCCGGGCGTAAATGAAGTGAGGTATTTTCGTTCTAGAATTTGAAATGCAATCGCTTGAGGATTCTTTATCAAGAAAAAACATTATATTTGGGCTTTAGGCCGTGTAACTTAAAAAAAAGCTCTRCTACCAGCCATTTAGTCGATCGAGGTACGTAGCCAGCAGGTGACAAAAGTATGCAAGTCTCATGAAAACAAGTAAATAAAGTGAGGTATTTTCGTTCTAGAATTTCAAATGCAATCCCAATCAAGGTAGAATATTAAATTTGGACTTTAGGTGATGTAACTTTGTTTTTCAGTCAGGCTAGCCATAGTGTAAACCGGCTTTAGTTTTACCTTTTCGTCAGTAAGCGTTTTAGAATTACACAGGAAGCCCAAGAAATTACAAAGCTCTTCGCGGATTTTTTCCGCGGATTTTTTCAGTGACTACTCTTTACTTTTTAGCAAAAGTTAAATTGTAACCCTTTTTATTTTCTCTTTCCCCAGATTAAGACAAACTCCTTAGTGACTTAGTGTTAATTGTTAGTTAAGTGAAAGTTTTGTAAACGTTGTATTTAAATTATTGTATGCGTTGTTATTGTATTTAATAAAATCCATATCTTAATTTCTGATAACAAATCTATTCCTCTATTCCATTATGGTCTATACTAGCTAGCACGACATCGTGCTGTACAGCGTCTAGTTTTATTGTGTAGTTCTCAGTCCCTCTGTCCGCTCTTGCGACCATAATCCCTAGCGTAAGAACAGTAGAATTATACGGCTATAGGTCAGTATTAATAATGTTCTTTCTCAACAACTGTTCAGTGTTCGTTTAAAATAAAAAACACTGACATGTTTTGGAAATTAGATATTTATACACCTGGGTTGTTGAGACTACAATGAATTATAATGAATAATGACCAAATAATGACCTGAAATACGAAATCACAATTGAAATCATTTTCTTTATACAATCACTAAACCTAGCAGTTTTTTCTTCTTAGTAATTCGCTGATTTTTTTTATTTTCAAATACTGAAATAGCGGACAAAACATTTAATTGCTTATTTTAATCATGTGTCTTTTCTAATTTCCTAAAATCACTTCAGGAAGAGGTAGTGCAAGAGGAGGAAGAGGGGGACAATCAAGAGCTAACGAGAAGTTGGAAAGATTTGGTTTTCGTAATCTCCAATCCATGGCAGAGAAKGATCCTGATKCTCTGGTTCTCGATATGACGTCAGACAAGTGTTTACCTGCGCTGGAAAATCTTGTTTCAGATGATTATATGTCAGACGAGAAAGTAGTAGTCATTCTAAGAGTATTTGCTAGGGCTTGTGAATGCTCAACCACTCAAGCATCACTTCTGAAATTGCTGCTGCATCTACCAAAGTCAACGTACATGAGCATGCATTTGTCAAACTACATCAATAGAATGACAGTTGACATAGACGTGCAAGAAAGAGAAGATCAGTTCAGGATGTTGATAAAGCTTTTCACCGAACTTCTTAATAGGATGCCGAGTTCTTATGCAGACCTTCCCATCCCTCAGCTGTACTTCGTGACAATGATGCTTAACACGAAAGGTGAACTTTGTGATCAGAAAATCCTGTCTGAGGTGGAGAATTTAAGTACGTTGAAAGAAGAAATGGCAGAAAAAGTGAAGCACGAAGATGTCGGAAGGAGAAAAAGGAGAAACCCAAGAGATGAAGGTATGAAATGACCGATTAGGGGRTGTGGGGACGTTGCGTCAAATAGGGTATGGTTTGGGCCTTCGCTCCTGGAAAGGGTATACAACTGATCTTCAGTTGTCCTGAGGGGTGTGCTTTCTATGTTTACCATGTCGTATATAGGTTGTCAATATTTATCTAGTAGACTGTAAAGCTAAAAGGAAAAAAAGAATGCCATATTTCCTCCAGGAACTACCTGACGCTGCACTGAGGATCTGTTTTGACGTCGATTAAGTTAAGTCTTTCATTTACAGCGGCTCGTCTGGACGATGACTCTCCGCCTGACGACTTTCGAGATTTAAGTGTCGTACCCACACAAGACGACGTTCACTTCAAAGGAGTTCCATTTGTTCGACGAAACAAGGTCGACGGCAGCTATAAATCACCCGAGCATTACCTGGACGTACAGTTCCGTTTGTTACGAGAAGATTTTGTGCGTCCTTTGAGAGATGGGATTAATGAACTTCTAGTAAAGATGGGGACTGCCAAGATGGGACCTTTACAGGTAAAGTAAAAATAGCTATTTCATTAAGCAATAAACGATAGCTTGAAGCAGTTTACTGGCGAAATAAACCGCGCGGGATGGTTGGGAGAACACTCGAAAAGATAACTCAGACTTACAGATCTTTCCCGTGTTGTCCCAACCATCCCAAGCGGTCTATTTCGCCAGTAAACCGCTTCAAGTTATCGTTTAAATGCTTTTATATTAAGGTAGAAAATTTGGAAAATTTAGGCCGATGTTTGCCATTTATAGCTCAAGTATTTTAAGACASCTTGCTGGTGGTTTACCTGCAAAATAAACCTTAAATTTTCTCATGAAATCCGCCAATCAGGGTGCGTGTTAGAATTGAGCTATAATATAAATGTCTGTAGACCGTAGACCGTGATATAAACTATATTTGTACAGAGAGAGCCGCGTCCAGATGGCACGATTCTAGGGATTCGAATACAACACACGCAATAAGTACATTTATTTAAGGGACTTTTTTCTGTCTCAGGATATCCGTGTGTATCATGATGTCCGCATCCTCTATCCTGTCTTTACGTCAAAGGGACTGACCTACAAAGTCAGCTTCGATGTATCGCGGTTCAAGCGCGTTCGCTGGGAAAACAGCAAAAGGCTTATCTACGGTTCACTACTGTGCTTATCTAAGGACAAATTTGACACTATCATGCTGGCAACCGTGGAGAACCGGGACCTAAAGGAATTGAAGGAAGTATGTGTTGTTAAGAATTCTATTAATTATTACTTAACTATTTATATCATCTTTATTATAATCATCGTCACATTTTGTCCACCATGGCTACTGTTACTTTATTTTCACTTTATTGGTCGGAATAAAGCGCAGTACAGGGGGGTCCGGTCCTTTTGAACTTGACAAATATCGGGTTCATATTCTCAGTAAATTAGGTAAGTTATATACAGGGCGTATTTCATAAAAAGGTCACAAGATAGAGGGTAGTCAGATTTGAAATTTCGAATTCTCTAACTGTGTGCAGGAATCACAATTGTGGAAAACGTTGCTGGATGAGTGATACACTGTAAAATGGCATTGCAAGTTTTTGCGATGCGTTACGAGAAGTAGCCTCAGTTMTACTTAGCGCAACATGCGCAAGGCTCTCACAACAAAGTGACAAGACGAMCCATGTTTCACTGTGCAATRCGTTTAATCACACATTGTAATARCACCTAAWCRTCGACASTGCCACTTTGCAGGATCAACCATTWATTAATMATTCTATGTTGTATACTGATATAGGGGACAGTGGAAATAAAATTCACAGACACATCACAAAGGATTGAACTCGACAAGAGCTCTTATGAAATGGTGGAAACAACTGCATACTTTGAAGCATATCGCCATGTATTAGAAGGACTCAAAGAGATCGAGCCAGAAAAGATTCCGTTTCAGGTAGTACAACGAGATACTTTATACACTCAGAACTGGTTTTCCTGATTTCAAAATGGACGATCAATCGAGGGTTTTTTCTCTTCTCTTTTTTTCTTCTTGTCCTTTTTAGTAACTTTTAACTCTATTGAGATGATTTAATTTGTATTTTGGTAAACACACGCGGTGTTATATTTAACTAATTGATTAACTGAATATTCGGTTCGAAGTCTTACCGTTATTCCATTTGATCCCATGAAATGGAAAAAGTGAAAGTGATGATAAGAGTACAAAAAAATTAAAAAGCATGCGCCAATGACGGCATTGGGATTTTGCGAGCATGTTTGTACGTTTGCATACGTTTGTACGTTCCGCTCGARGAAAGAGGTTCGGTTTTCATAAAGTGACATTTTCCAAAGACTTTTTTTAGAGTGCGCGCCCGGGGAAATTACGAGGCACGTGACGTCTGTCATGTGGTCTTAATGTTGGTGATTCAGTAATACGTATGGTATATTTCCACAGCGTTACATTGTTAACTGTCAACCTGACGTAAGAGCACCAGCTTATCTACGTAACAGACGTCGAGAAACAGTAACGTATGACTTGACACCGATYATGAAGAACGACGTAAGGTATATTWTACACATTACTCAATAGATACAACTTCTGTATTTTTTAATGTTGTCTTTTCTGTCTCCTCTGAGTGACRACATTTTGTACAACAAAGTATGTATATAAGAAAAAAATCAAACGGCAGAAAAACGCACCTGTTACGTCATGGCTCATGGAAAAAATGCAGGCGTTGCTACACAGTCCACGTATGCTGTYTCCTTCGCAGCCTCCCCTTTTGTCGGGCTTCCTGTCCCTCCCTTCTTCTTCTAACATATGCTGCCGTTCATTAGAAAAATGTCATCCTCGTACCAACTACGATGGTTTAGGAACTTTCTCCGTTTTATTCTTTAAACCCACATTACACAAGAAAGTGGGCAAAGCATTCTGGTACTGCCAGCATATGACGTCATTTTAGTTTCGCTTACAATTGTGATTAAATATTGTTATTTGTCTTGCAGTAATATTTCGCAAAGACTCAGTCGTTTGTCAATTTCGACTGGAAGAAAAGGTGAGCTAAAAATGAATCTTTTCGGTTTTGACTAGATAAAATATCTTATTTCTGTTACAAATCCTAGGGCTAAATCTGTTCTTAATGCACTAGTCAATCGAAATCCCCGCCCCCCAGGGCTAGCGGGGCACTGAACGGGGACGTAACACGTTTTTAACGTGCTTTTAACAGCAAGATTGCCCCGGGGGTCGGGATTTTGATGAATTGTTTTCGAAGCGGGGCAAAGAGCGGGGATTTTAACGCGAGTTTGAACATGTATGAGACTAGAAACTACCTATGCATGAAATTTTTTTAAAAGAAACTTATTAGCCATGTTTTTCTTCGTCCAGTTAGCCTCATGTAGTATGCAAATGAATATACATGATTGTRCAAAAATTAACCTTGTGTATCACAGAACATTTGATTGAAAGGTCCTTGTTTTGTTATTTACTACTACCAAAATAGCGSGGCAACAGGAGCGGGGATTTTAACAATGAATGTGCCGCCAACTACCGGAGGAAATGTCTTATTTTAACACCACTCAAACGTTGAATTCCCCGGTAATCCCCGGGGGTCGGAGGGCGGGGGTTTCAATTGGCTAGTGCATAACYTAGTACTTTAAAAAGTTTTTTATTTATTCTTATTTTTCAACAGGCAAATCTGTAAACATTCTGGACGTGAACGCCTGGCCAAGTGCGGATGACTTACAGCTCGACGACTCTCAGCTGAAAGCTGTACAGCTTGCTYTAACGAAAGAGTTTGCTCTGATCCAAGGACCGCCAGGGACTGGTAAAACATACATTGGTCTCAAGGTGAATATATACSAAACCCAAATATCAGCTTTTACAATATTTGAATGCGGATATTACATAGTCCAGCGGAGATCAGACAGATTTCTAATACTTTAAGTGTTGAAAATATCGCACAAGTGAGCATTRAAAAGAAGATGAAATCCATGTCACCAAGTGACCATGTAATATTATGTTGATCGTATAATTATCCTTTAAACATTTATGGGAAGCATACAAGAGTTGCCTAGGGATGAGTTTTTTTGTTTGTTTTTTGTTTCACTTTTTTTTATTTTCTCAAAATAGTACTCGCTGGATAATCTTCACAGTACTTCCTACACGTATTTTCCAGACAGTGTACCGCATGCTCTACAACTAAGCTAACAGCATTAAAAGGAATCATATTCACTATTTTGTACATCCCATTGTGTGTTTAATCAGGTTGTTAGAGTACTACTTCACAATAAAGACAAATGGATGACAGGAACAGAAAACGYATTTGACTTTGATGATGAGCTAGATGAAGCAAGGCTCCCTTTGGCACGTCGAMGGCAAGCTGTGGATAGACGTCAAGCTGATACCCACCCTATACTGGTGGTATGCTATACCAACCACGCCCTTGATCAGTTCTTAGAGGGTATTCATGAATTCCATCAAGATGGTATCGTACGAATTGGTGGACGAAGCCAAAGTGAACTTATGCAGAAATGTAGTCTTCGAGAACTGAAGTACAAAATGCATAAAAACAAGGAAGGTTTGTCTCTTTTAAAAATTCAGTCACCACCTTGAATTATGTACTCGATTAACCTACGAGGCCGTAGAGGAAAATTACATTTTTATAATCGTCATCAAAAATCAGGGAAGATTCTATACTATATAGTTCCATATTTGGGCAGCGTCATTATAACGCGTTTGCTGGTATTGGCCAATAAAAACTATCAGCTAATTTTCAATAAACAYTAAGAACTATTATTTTTATCGAGTACCTATTGTCTTGATATACTTTTCAGCTCCACGAGAAATACGTCGCGCTTTTTACGATATCCACTGTGAATTGGAACAGATTTCCAATCAAATGAAGATCGCCACAGAAAATATTCAGAAATGCATGGAGCAACTCGTCCATGAAAAGGAGTTRTTGACAGGAAATCACTTGACTCCAGATCTGTACTGTCAGCTTACAAGCGATCCAGAAACAGGAATGAGAAGCCCGCATAGTGCTATGATGGCTCATTGGCTGGGCCTTAAAAATKACGATCCTTTTGAATCAAGTAGGTGAAGAATTTMGACAATTCATTTGCAAAAGAGCATTCCGAATCCATCCATCAATCAATTCCTCCACCAGTTTATCATTTCCTTATGGTATACCAATCAATCATCTCTGCAAATTAATCTATCAACTGAATCAAACATCCTCTGATCAAAGTTTTAATCAATTGCTCATGTGAATGCACTCGATCTTTATATAAATCACTCAATAAGATAAATCCCTATTTATGAGTGAATAACAAAATTTAAACGATGAATAACTTTATCCACCCTTTGTAAAACCGAACCCAGGAATTTTTGTCCATTCATTCAATTTTTTTCATTCTTTTAGCCATTCAACATCTATTTATTACTATTGCAGACATGTTCATACCACCTATTGCTGTATTCCCCTTCAATCTCGCGGCCAAGAGGAGGAATGTGGTCAATCCTTTACATGTATCTCAAACATCAAACGCCAAGCCAGCCCCGGGCCTTGATGGTAGTCCTGGAGGCTCGTTCGAACTTGAGGGTGCACGCAATTCTTTCATCTGCATTCCAAATATGGAAAACGGTTTCCTTGACACGCGTCAATCAATGACTATTGTTTTATTTGTGTATCCAATGAACCCCGAGGGGGGTCCCATCCTTTCTTTTTGTCATCGAGGAATGATTGGAATCCAAATCAGTCAAAAAGGTCAGATTGATGGAAAAGGTGTCCTGGAAGCTACCTTCAACAGGTYAGAGCATGTTTTTGAAGAAACATTTTGTGGAATTTCTTACAAGCAAGCAAGCAAGTATATTAGTATAGGCGGCATTTTTGATTCAATTAAAGTATGCTGGATAGCATTTTATTTCGTACAGCGGAAATCGTTGTATCGCGACCTCTTTGTTTTGAAGTTTGTCTGGATTTTGTTCTTTCTTTCAATCTGAGGGGCGGAGACACTGGTGAAAAACGCCCTGCGCATGTCCACAGCTTTCCTGCTGAAATCTGCCTAATTTCCTCTGTAAAGCGATTTTTGTGAAATGTTTTTACAATTTATAAGATCGTTCATCGATATATAAGATTCATATTTCCATCAATCATAGTTCATGATAGGTCCGTTAAGTATGTAGTTTCTATTTTTATCTTGTCATTTCTATTTTGAGAAAATGAGGTTTTTCGTAGTGTTTTCTGTATTGTCGCTATCGAAATCGCCAGGCGCTCTGTGAACAGATTTCAAGACGCGAACGCCAACTGGCGGAAAAACTGTGGGCATGCGCAGTGCGTTTTTCACCAATATCAGGGGCGGAGCTTTTCGAAAGCTCGTTCAATCATTGGCTGATTAGTATCAAGCTCCCCCACCCAAAACGCAGAAAAACCTAAATCCCAACTATTTCTTTTGAACATTGAAGTCGCGATGCAACGGTTTCTGCTGTAACTCAACTTAATTTAGATCTGTAGTTTACTTTAGTTGCAGCGATAAGAGTAAGATTTTTGTTATTAGTCAGTGTTTCACGGATTTAATAAATGTAACTGCTTTACTTGCAGCCGTAATGGTGTGTGGATGAAACCATTATCTAAAYCAGTTTTAAAACTAAACCAATGGAATTACATCGCGGCCTCGTACGATTACGAATCGGGTATTTACAGACTATGGCACGATGGACAGTTGGTTCAACAACTACAGAACGTGTATGGACCGATGGAAATCGGATCACAATTTCCAGTTTATATAGGCTCWTTTAATCGGAGAGACCATAACGCATTCTTTGAAGGTCGAGTCTGTGGCCTCCACATCTTCCCAAGTGCTCTAGGGAAACAGCAGATCCTGAGGATTGCTGGGATACAAGAAGAGGGTAAGAAAGACTCTGCCATATACCATAATAACTATTACCATGATAMTAAGACTTGTTTACAAATTCTATTTCAATAACGTTTACAGATCTTGGGAACGACGAAGAAATCAACATCACTGGAGAGCAAGAAGAACAAGAAGAAATCGACAACGATACACTATTCGAGGCAAAAGCCGAGGAAGATTTACGTGTTCTKGACACCGATGATGTCACTCKTTTCGGCAACAAACCATCAAAGTTAAAGACTCTGACGACCGTCGATTTGTTTAAGGACGAATATAGCGCAACACCAAATGAATACCAGTGGCAAGTCCAGAATCCAGCTCGTCAAAAAAAGAGAATCAAGCAAAAGATTAAGAAAGAGCTCAGCTATGGCGATATGATGACTTCTCAAGAGGCAGCGCGGGTAACTAGGATATGGTCGTTGTCCATGAGGGATCGATGGCGACTYTATCGATATTGGATTGATCAGCTTTGTGATGACTACAGACAGACAATAGAACGGTATCACTAAAACGTATTATATTCCCTTTTTTTCAGACATTTGATATGAAGACAGATTTAGTACTATTTTACACTTGTCAGAGTTGTTCTTAGTACCATTTATAGATTAATAACTGGAGCAATAGACTAGTGATATATRTCTCTCCCTGAAGGGCTGGGATGCAGCGCAGGCTAGATATTTATAAGAAAGATTTTTTTKAGATCAAATTAGGGAAACACCCGAAGGTTTGGAWAAAAATGCATCRTTTCTTGATTTATAGMTTWTGTTTGGTGTGATACTGGCATATTCTTATACCTATGTTGWTGTCTTACTCTTGATTTTCTTCTGTTTTTAATTAAAAAAGGCGTAAGAGTTTATGTATATAAACGTTTATAAATATAAAAAAGTACATAAACGTATATGCATGGAAAAGAGCGAACTGTGACTGACTATCTATCTGACTGTATCTATCTGACTATCTTTCCATGTAATGTAGGTATCAGGAGAATTTTGAAGAGGGTGCCCAAAGACTGCAGGAAGTCAAGGATCTCGAAGATCAATCAATTCTGAAACATGCGACAGTGATTGGCATGACAACAACAGGTAYGTCATTATATTCCATTAGTAACGGACGTTATTCAGTAGCGTTTGTAATTATGACCGTCGCGCCGTCGTCGCCATCRTATTCACCATTTTTCGTTTTTGACTACAAGGTGCGGCCAAGTATCGACGTGTAATCCAGAAAATACAGCCACGCATAACCATAGTGGAAGAAGCCGCTGAGGTACTGGAGTCTCACATCGTCACCTCYCTGACCTCTGGATGTCAGCACTTGATCTTGATTGGAGATCACCAGCAACTCCGCCCCAATCCAACCGTGTATGACCTTGCTAAAAACTACGAYYTRGATATGTCTCTCTTTGAGAGAATGGTAAGAAAAATATCKACCTTTGCCACCGATCATTAGGACRTATCATCAGCACGCATTTCACGTCAAGATATCAGGAACACTAAATTGATACCAAAGACTWRCGCCTTTTAAAAGCCTTCATCTAGAATTAATGAAAACGTTTATTTTTCAAGTCACAGCAAATGTTAGTGATATATTTTGTTTATGAAAACATTTCCATATGGTCATGTCATTCGTATGTTCCACCACTGTGCACTCGCTTGATGGTCCAATATATGCCATACCCTTAATTAATTTTAGCACATTTGTTCGAATTCTTTAGGTTAAGATTGGAATGAGATTAGAGAGATTAAACGCCCAGCATCGCATGCGACCTGAGATTGCTGAGATGATGGAGCACATYTACGAAGACCTTCAGAACCACGAGTCAGTAATGCACTTTGGCCCAGTCAAGGGTGTGGACAAAAACATCTTCTTCATCGAGCACAATGAACTAGAGGTAATRGRCRAATCTACACCTTCCTTCAGGTACTCCGTAGCCAKGCGTTCCTAGCAATCCCTCTGGGTTTTTCCGGTCCAAACTCCGCCTGGCTACGCGGGCTAAGGCMGTAGTCACAGTATYAAGATGATASATCCACCTGGCTGATCCTATTACAAATTTTGTTACTTTGACAAATGTTGTTACTTCGATTTRTGTTCATTCACCTGGGTTCAGTCCTTTCTGTAGAATGATATAACGAGAAGTTTAAAGACATGTTCTCAATAATTAAAGGTGAAATATCTGAAAGCTGCATAGGTTTAAGGCGAACCAACAACCTAACTGATGGATACGATCCTGTCATTGGCATGAACAATTGTTGAATTATTC